AGTCCAGGAGTTTGAGACCAGCCTGGGCAACACGGCAAAACCCTGTCTCTACAAAAAAAAAAAAAATTTGTAACTAGCTGAACATTGTGGCATATGTCTGTAGTCCCACCTACTTGGGAGGCTAAGGTGGGAGGATCACTCAAACCCGGGAGGCAGAGGCTGCGGTAAGCTGTGATTGTGCCACTGCACTCTAGCCTGGGGAAGAGAGAGAAGCTCTGTCTCAAAAAATTAAAAAAAAAAAAGATTTAACAACTGAGGATAAGGGATAGAGGACTCGTATTTAACACAAGTTACAAGAAAATAAAGTTTTAGGAAAATGTTAAACCCCTAGATTCAAGTTCTCCTCCATACAAGCTGCATGAATTTAGGCAGGTTATTTAACATCTTTAAAGCCTGAGTTTTCTTCTCTATAAAAGGGAAATAATGATATCTTCCCATGAGTCTGCTGTGAACAACATGAGGTAAGATGCCTGAAACTACATCGGGCACTGGGCAGTAGGATGCCCACCTCAGTTTGCCTGGGATTTTGCAGTTATTAACACCGACAGTCCCACATCCTGGGAAACCAGGAGAGTTGGTCACTCTACTTGGCAGGCATTCAGTAAATGGCACATATTCTTTTTTTTTGCGGGGGGTGGGGGAGAGCAGAGACAGGGTCTCACTATGTTACCCAGGCTGGTCTTGAACTCCTAAGCTCAAGCAATCTTCCCGCCTCAGCTTCCCAAAGTGCTGAGATTACAAGCATGAGCCCCCATGCCCAGCTAAATGGAACAGATTCTAGTATGAGGAACAGAAATTAACTGAAAGTAAAAAAGGATCAGAGTGAACACGCAACCTAGAAAATGGGAGAAAATTTTTGCAATCTACCCATCTGACAAAGGGCTAATATTCAGAATCTACAAAGAACTTCAACAAATTTAAAAGAAAAAAACAAACAACCCCACCAAAAAGTGGGCCAAGGATATGAACAGACACTTCTCAAAAGAAGACATTTATGCAGCCAACAAACACATGAAAAAATGCTCATCATCACTGGCCATCTGAGAAATGCAAATCAAAACCACAATGAATTACCATCCCACACCAGTTAGAATGGCGATCATTAAAAAGTCAGGAAACAGATGCTGGAAAGGAAGTGGAGAAATAGGAACGCTTTTACACTGTTGGTGGGAGTGTAAACTAATTCAACCATTGTGGAAGACAGTGTGGCAATTCCTCAAGGATCTAGAACTAGAAATACCATTTGACCTGGTGATTCCAATACTGGGCATATACCCAAAATCATGCTACTATAAAGACACATGCACACGTATGTTTGCTGTGGCACTATTCACAATAGCAAAGACTTGGAACCAACCCAAATGCCCATCAATGATAGACTGGATTAAGAAAATGTGGCATATATGCACCATGGAATACTATGCAGCCATAAAAAAGGATGAGTTCATGTCCTTTGCAGGGACATGGATAAAGCTGGAAACCGTCATTCTAAGCAAACTATCACAAGGACAGAAAACCAAACACCGCATATTCTCACTCATAGGTGGGAACTGAACAATGAGAACACTTGGACACAGGACAGGGAACATCACACACAAGGGCCTGTTGTGGGGTGGGGAGCAGCGGGAGGGACAGCATTAGAAGAAATACCTAATGTAAACGATGAGTTAATGGGTGCAGCAAATCAACACGGCACACGTATACCTATGTAACAAACCAGAATGTTGTGCACAGGTACCCTAGAACTTAAAGCATAATTTTTAAAAAAACAACAAAAAACAAAAAAAGTAAAAATGCAATGTGGAAAAAAATCACACAAAACAGTTTCAACAGTGAGACAGCCAGACCACTGTCTGTGAATTAGAATCCTCTCTTTTGTGGTAGGCAGAATTCTAAAACCGCACCCCCTGGTATGCACACCCAGTGTAATCCCCTCCCCAGAGTGGAGGTGAGCATGGCCAGCTCAGGGATGCCATTTTTCAGACATGGAAAGTCAGAAAGATTTGAAGTTACAGCAGATGCTCTCCTTCTGGCCTTGAAGAAGCAAACTGCATGCTGTGGAGAGAGTCACAAGGCTGGGACTAGTTAGGGCCTCTAAGACCCGAGGGCCTCAGTCCTACAAGGAACTGATTTCTACCAACAAACTGAATGAGCTTGGAGGAAGGCCCTGAGCCTCAGAGGAGCTAGCAGTCCTGGCTGGTACCACGTTTCCCAGCCTGGGAGACCTAAGCACAGGCCCCAGACATACCATAACAGGGCTTCAGAACTACAGAACTGTGAGACTAGAAATGGGTAACGTTTTAAGTCACCAAGTCTGGGGTAATTTGTTACACAAGAACAAGAAAAAATATTTTTAAGAGTATCCACTACAAAGGTGCAGAGATGTGGGGGGTGGGGGGGGTATAATGCGTGCATGCCTGTATGTATATGCCCAATATATTATTTGTAAAACATAATTTCTTGGCCGGGCGCGGTGGCTCAAGCCTGTAATCCCAGCACTTTGGGAGGCGGAGACGGGTGGATCACGAGGTCAGGAGATCGAGACCATCCTGGCTAACATGGTGAAACCCCATCTCTACTAAAAAATACAAAACACTAGCCGGGCGAGGTGGCGGGCACCTATAGTCCCAGCTACTCGGGAGGCTAAGGCAGGAGAATGGCATGAACCTGGGAGGCAGAGCTTGCAGTGAGCCGAGATCCAGCCACTGCGCCCCAGCCTGGGGGACAGAGCGAGACTCCGTCTCAAAAAAAAAAAAACATAATTTATTGCACTGTTTTTTAATGGAAAAAGTTCAAATTCAAAAGAAGCTTCTTAATAAATTAAACTCGGTGGAAAAATCAATCTCAAATTACTCTTGGCCTTACAACTAAAACTTTCATGCAGTGATGATGAGGTGTAAATAGTACAACCACTTTGGAAAACAGGCAATTTCTACTAAACCTAAACATGCAACACTATGATTTAGAAATTCCACCTTCTGAATGCACAGGTCCATACAAAGACACGCACATAAACGTTCACAGCAGCATTAGTCATAATAGCCAAAAACTGGAAGCAATCCAGATACCCAAGAACAGGAGAAGAAAAACACCAGGTATCTTCCTTCAGTGGAAAATTCACATCAATTAAAAAGTACAAACTAATAATATACACAACAGGGATGAATCTCACAGATATCATGTTGAGTGAAAGAAGCCAGACACAGAGAGTATGTAATGAAGGATTCCACTTCCATTAAGCAGTGACAGAGTCAGAATGTGAGTTACTTCTCAGGAGGGGTGTGCTAGGATCTGAAGGTTTCCATCCCCACAAAACTCAATGTTGAAACCTAATCCCCATGTGGTGGTATCAATAGGTGGGGCCTTTGGGAGGTGATCAAGTCTTGAGGGCTCTCCCCTCATAAATGGGATTCCTATCCTTATAAAATAGGCCCAAGGAAGCTCCCTTGCCCCTTCCACCACGTGAGGACACAGGAACAAGGTGCCATTTATGGAGAAGAGAGCCCTCACCAGACACTGAACCTGCTGACGTCTTGATGTTGGACTTCCCAGTCTTCAGAATTGTGAGCGATAAATTTCTGTTGTTTATACATTACCAAGTCTAAGATATTTTGATTTAGCGGCAGGAATGGATTAAGACAGAATGTAAAATCTGGAAAGGAGCACCAAGTACCTGTAACTGGTGCTGGAAATGCTGTATATTTTGGTCTTTTTGGCGCTTATATGGGTGACTGCATATAAAAATAATCATTGAAAGTTAAGTTTAGTACACTTTACTGAATGTTTATATTGCTACGATCTGAATGTCTGTGTGCCCCCAAAATTCGTATGGTGAATCCCCCTAGGTGATGGTAGTAAGAGGTAGGGTCTTTACAGGAGGTGATTAAGTCATGAGAATGCAGCCCTCATGTATGGGATTAATGGCCTCATAAAAGAGGCCTCAGAGAGCCTCTCATCCTCTTTCCACCAAGAAGAAATCAAAAACCGTACCATACTAGCCCCCTGATCTTGGGACTTTCAGCCTCCCAAACTGTGAGAAATAAATTTCTACTGTTTATAAGCCACCCTGTCTATATTCTGTTATAGTAGCACAAATGGACTAAGACCTATACTTGAAAAATATTCCTGCTCCTTTACAATAGCTATTTAATAACCATTTAATGACATTTTAAGATGCCTGAAATAGCCTTGGATTCCTCATTTTAAAAATATCTAAATAAGCTAGTGAAGAGTAAAACATGAATATTGTGAAGGTGCTATACAAGCATAACTTTGCAAGAAATTATCACTCAAAGCTCTTATTTAAAACACAATGCCTAACACTTAAGTATTGCTCAATAAATGTTGGTTGCATGAATTCCATAGATAATCCCACTGCTTATATTTTAGAAGCCCAGAGGAATCTATATGTACAAATATATGGCATAATAGCCTGAATATAATATACCCTATACATGTGAAAAACTATGGTTCTTGTCCATTAACTACTTCTTTACCTCCAAGTACAAAAAAATACAAGCCAAGTGTCAAGCCATCACCAAAGAAACGTAGATGTTAACTGTGCAAGGTAAAGGCAGCACCACTTTCATTTTTCACACTGTCAGTGTGACATCAGGGGTGGGGATAACTCTTTGCCATGCAGACTTGGAGCATGAGAAGTTGGTTAGGATCATCTAATTTAACCCCACACCGTGGTCAGAAAGCGCCCTGGCCTCCCTACTGCTGGGCGTCTTCCCACTGCCTGGACCCTCTGAGAGAGTGCAGGGGGAAGACAGCAGGGGTGCCAGGGACAACTGACCCACGTAGGGAGAGGCAGCCTACTGTGAACTGTGTCCACCTTAGCATCTTTTCTGCCAGAGCATAAGAGACAGAACTCACAGCATGGAAAGTCTCACTTAGCAGCAAGTCTATGAAACTGAAATGAAGGAAGTTTCAAGTCCACAAGGGGCTCAAAAACACCACTGGAAGTGACCAAAAAGTGAAACAAAACCACAGCTCACCTCGCTATTGTGGCCCCGGAGGTTGAAATTTATCCTCTGTGGAGTACTCCTGTCCCTGCGACAGTGGCTAGAGGTGAAAGTCACCCCAACCACTCCTCGCCCATTGCCCGTGGCCAGCCAGCCCTCCTCGTAGTAGCGCCTCCTGCACACAGGCTTCTCCTTCTCACTCTTGGGGACACGCCCCTTCCAGGACAGGCACAGGATGTTGGAGTCACTGCAAAGCACAGGCCCATGTTCCACCGCTGCATACATACTTTCTTCAATGAACTGTTTTACTTAAAAAGTAATGCTAATGCTGTGAAATTTAAACCAATTACTTTCATTGGTGTATTTGTTTTTGTGGTTGGTTTGCGTTGAGTTTTTCCCCCTTTAATTAAGACTGACCTGAATCTAATTAGAAGGTCAGTATTTTATAAAGATCCACCGAATGCATAGTGAAAAAATTCCTCTATAAAAGATGATGGCAGTCTTCTAAGAAAAGGTAATGCTTAAAAAAACATGGGGTCCATTTTTATTTTCAAGTTCTCAGAGGAAGAACGTGCTGATCCTTTGGAGAAAGAGCATCGTTAATTAAGTGGTGATCAAGAAACAGTTTTCTTCTTTTTACTCCACTTGGTTATTCTCATTCAGCCTGAGATTCCAGTTTAGTGTAATGATTCCAGAGACAACGGGTTGCAAATACATAGATTTCAAGTAACTTAAGGCTTTAAGAATCCCTCTAGCTCGAATTTTTCTCTTCAGAAGTTCGGATGCAGAGACAGAACACACAGGATCATCTTCCTTCGGAAGCCACCCTCTAGCATGTTTTCTGAACTAGACAAATTTCTGCTGCTAAAGCTGAAAAAGATTGCATAAAGGGAAAAAAAGGCACACAAACCGTGCAAAACAGACCAGAGTTTGTGCAGACAAGAGTCCAAATTGTAGGAAGAAAAACAGACTCTCTCCCCGTTGTTTCAGAACCAGAAACTTTCCACCTCAAAGCTTGGCCCTGTGTCCCCGGGGAACGCAGGGCTCCATCGGACTACTCCTCCACCAGCCGGCACACCCCTCAGTGCCATAGAGGCTAGAAAGAAGGCCCCTTCACTCAAGAGGCAGAATGTTCCAGCGCTCTTACAGTGGTCCCAGTGTTTGCCTTGGGTGAGTCTTAAATCCTCTTGCTGACAAAACAGAGCCACGCTACAAGATTTTATTTCTTTTGCTCGTCTCCCTTCTCGCTCCCCCAGTTAGCACTCCCCTTTTCTGCTCCTAAAGATCTTTTTCCATCTTGATGAAAAAAGCTAATCTTAGAATTAAGTCCATCAGGTAATCTTCTCATACGCAAATCTTCTTGGACTTGACAGGGAAGATAATCCCTTAAAACAAAAGCAGAAGCCAGAGTCAGATTCCCTCAACTGTCTCCCTAGAGAGTGATCGTGTTTTGCTGATGGGTGCTTTCCTGTTCACATTCAGAGACTGTCTCCAAACACCACACCGCTCGTCCAAAAAAAAGAAAGCTTTGCTTGGATTTTCCTTGATATTTGTTTTATAATTATTGGTTTCAACTGCTATTTTACAATATTATCCTATAGATGCAGGAAAAGAAACGGGGAAATAATAAATTAAAATTTCTCAAATACAGTTAATTAAAATAGGCAAAGGAATCAGTTCATTATTCAAACGTGTCCCATCATACTTGAACTTGCTTTCCTCTAGCCAAAACCACAATAGGAGTTACTTTTCAGTCCAGAATTTTAATCCATCAAAATCACCAAACCCACTGAAAAATAAAGTGCAACAAGCACTGTGTGAGCCGCTGCAATGTTTGAAGTCACATTTCTTTCTCAGTCACCTTCGCACTTAGTTCCTTCTTTAAACTGGAAGGTATTTTTGTGGCTTAATCTGTGCAAATTTTTTTTTCTTCTTTTTGCAGACTTTCTTTACCCATGCAGACCATATGGAAAATTGGCCATTAGTGATGTATTTTTCTCCCCGGGCTCCTGAGCCCAGTGGTGTCAAGTTGCTCCATCTGATTCTTAAATTAATTTTCATCAGTTGTAAAACTCTCAAGTGTGCACAAGAATGAGCCTGTCTTCCCGTGTGAATGTGTAAGTACAGAAAGAAGGTTTTAAATGCACATAGACACACACTCTTCAACTGCCATACGAAGCGTCTGTTTCCCCAGTCATTTCAGGAACCATCAGATTATTCACGGCTGGAAGGCCCTGGAGTCTTACAAATCTGTTAAAATAAAAAAAAAAAAAAAGATATAAAATAAAAAAACTTTAAAACACTGAAAAATAAAAGTTTTGAGAATAATTGCTGAAACTGAAATGAGAGACCCATCTTTACACTTATATCAAATGGAGCTACTGACTGCACTGAATGGTAAAATCCAATAGTGAAAGGATACATCTCACCAGCCTCAAGACAACACACAACACATGAGAGCTCTGCTGGCCATGGATCGTTGTATTCAATTTGTCAGCAGCTGGGCATATCTGAATGAAATCATAGCTGCCATTCTCTCACACTGAACTGTCCTTTCTAAGACTCTAAACTCTGAATGTGAGGCTCTACCCTACCAGAGATCATGGTCACTGCTTCAGCAGGCATCCTCAAAAAGGAGACTGAAATGACTCAGGCAAGTTATCTGGATTGATTTTTTCACGATTAATAAAAGATTAAACTGCTTCAAGACACAAAGCAGCAAGGGCCTTTAAAACTCATCCGTCCCTGATGGCTGGCAGGTCTCAGAGCAAAGCACAGTTGTTTTCTAAGCTTTTAAGTGGTCTACCAGCAATAAAGTTCTAGAGAATCTATCTCTAGCAAATCCATTCCATTTTCTTCCTACTGCCTGAAGTCCAGGCCACATCACATCCTCTACAAACACTAGAACACTCTATCCCTAACTTACTCATGCCCCGCAACCACCATCCTTCCAGAAGGCAGAGTGGCCTTTCTGAAATTCAGCAGACTCTCTCAGTCCCCTGGAGCTAGCTGCAGCAGCCTAGCCCCACCCCAAAGGACCTGGACACTGGAAGGGAAGGGGAGGGCCCAGGTGTTGGCATTTCTAACAAGCTCCCAAGAGATGCTAATGCCGCTGGTCAGGGAACCAGGCTTTGAGAACTACCTGCCTGTAGCAAACCAAGTCCCAGCAAAACACCCTACTTTCATCATAATACTAAAACATAATTTGCCTTCTTCTGTGTTCACATTTGTGTCCATGGTGCAAAATCAACAGTGGGTCAAACTGCGAGCTCTTTAACACTAATGAAGGTAGAGGTATCACTGCACCAGTAATCACAGATTAAAAAAAAAAGAAAATGCCAGCTTCACTTAAGAAGATCCTTGATAGAGCAGTAAAAATTGGCCCGAGTACATGGCTTTTAACGTCCTTGTGTCCCAAACTAGTAGGTACACATGAAGTACTTCTGTGGACTACTGAGGCACCATGGTAGTCCCAGGAAAAAGCATGTATTATACAGTTTAAGTTGCAAAATGAACTGCTTGTTTTTTTCATGGAATATCATGTGATATGGTTTGAATGTCTGGCCCCTCCAAATCTCATGTTGAAACGTAACCCCCAATGTTAGAGGTGGGGCCTGGTTGGAGGTGTTTGGATCATGGGGGCAGTCCCTCATGAATGTCTTGGTGTAATCTTCTGATAGTGAGTGAACTCTCACGATATCTGGTTGTTTAAAAGAATGTAGCACCAGGAGTTCGAGACCAGCCTGGCCAACATGGTGAAACCCTGTCTCTAATAAAAATATAAAAATTACCCGAGCATGGTGGCGGGCACCGGTAATCCCAGCTACTCGGGAGGCTGAGGCAGGAGAATTGCTTGAAACTGGAAGGCGGAGGTTGTGGTGAGCCAAGATCGCACCACGGCATTCCAGCCTGGGCAAAAGCGCAAAACTCCACCTCAAAAAAATAAAAAATAAAAAAAGAGTGTAGCACCTCCCACCTCTCTTGCTGCTCCGGCTCTAGCCATGTGACACACTAGTTCCTTGTCATCTTCTGCCATGTTTGTAAGCTTCCAGAGGCCTCACCAGAAGCAAATGCCAGCACCATGCTTCCTGTAAAGCCTGCAGAGCCTTGAGCCAATTAAAACAATTTTATAAATTACCCAGTCTCAGGTATTCCTTACAGTAATGCAAATGGGCTACTACACCAAGTTTACTAAAAAGAATGAATGACAAATTATGGTTGTTCCAGCTTGGATACTTGGCAGACATTGTCTTGAACATGAACAAAGTAAGCCTGCCACTTTAAGGAAAACAACTGACAGAATTTGTTGTCAAAAATAAAAACCGAGCTTTCAAGTTAAATTTAGACTGTTGCGAAAACCAGCACTCATCACGATCGATGAGCTTGCTAGCTCCCCATGTAACTGGGGGTGATGTTAATAAATGTGAATTTTTTATTTTTATTTATTTTTTATTTTTTTTTATTTTTTATTTTTTGAGACAGAGTCTCGCTCTGTCGCCCAGGCTGGAGTGCAGTGGCCGGATCTCAGCTCACTGCAAGCTCCGCCTCCCGGGTTTACGCCATTCTCCTGCTTCAGCCTCCTGAGTAGCTGGGACTACAGGTGCCCGCCACCTCGCCCGGCTAGTTTTTTGTATTTTTTAGTAGAGACGGGGTTTCCCCGTGTTAGCCAGGATGGTCTCGATCTCCTGACCTCATGATCCACCCGTCTCGGCCTCCCAAAGTGCTGGGATTACAGGCTTGAGCCACCGCGCCCGGCCCGAATTTTTTATTTTTTATCCCATATTTCACTGTGTATCAATATTTGGAAGACTCACATACTTGGTAAACCAGTATTTTCCAAATGACCAATGAAGATGATAGAAATTATACTTGAGTAAAAGATCTATTCAAGGTGCAAGACTTTGGGAGGCCAAGGCGGGGGTATCACCTGAGGTTAGGAGCTGGAGACCAGGCTGGCCAACATGGTGAAACGCCATCTCTACTAAAAATACAAAAATTAGCTGGGTGTAGTGGAGGGTGCCTGTAGTCCCAGCTACTTGGGAAGCTGAGGCAGGAGAATCAATTGAACCCAGGAGGTGGAGGCTGCAGTGAGCCGAGATCGCACCACTGCACTCTAGATTGGGTGACAGTGAGACTCCATCTCAAAAACAAAAACAAAAAACAACAACAACAAAAGGTACAAGGAAGACAAATGAATTTTAGTGTAACCAAGGATGAAAAATTCACTGATATATTTCATTCAAATTCTATATTGCAACTAATCTTTGAGAAGCTAACACTTGTCGAATTTGAGTGTGGTTATCAAAGAAAAATATCCGTGATTATCGGAAGACTAAGAAAATCCTCCTTTCTTTTCCAATTATATGTGTATGAGGCTGAATTTTCTTCATATACTTCAATAAAAACGACATATTGCAACAGATTAAATGTAGAAGCAAATATGAGAACCTAGCCATCTTTAAGTAAGCCAGACATCAAATATTGCTGCCAAAATATAAAACAATACACTCTTATTATTAAATGTTTTAGTTTTAGGAAAGGCAGTTGTCTTCACAAAAATATATAACTTATAACATTTAATGGGTTTACATTTTGTAATAAATTAGGGAATATTTTTTAATTTATCAGCAGTAGCTAGGAGCACAGGTGCACACCACCACAACCAGTTAACTTTTGTATTGTGTGTAGAGACAGGGTTTCACCATGATAGCCAGGTTGGTCTCAAACTCCGAAGTTCAAGTGATCCAACCCTGCTCAGCCTCCTGAAGTAGCTGGTATTACAGGTGTCAGCCACTGCACCCAGCCAGTTTTAATTTCTAATATGGTAAATATCAACATATAACCACAAAAGTTCATATAACAACATATAATAACAAACATATAATAACAAAAGTTCCTTTGGACCTTCAATAATTCTTATGAATATAAAGGAGCCCTGAAACCCAAAAGTTCAAAAATAACAGACATATACTAACTCTCTAAAATGTAAATCTATCTATGTATCTATCTATCTATCTATCTATCTATCTATCTATCTATCTATCTATCTATCTATCTATCTATTTATCTATCTATCTTTCTTTCTTTCTTTCTTCCTTTTTCTTTCTTTATTTCTTTCTTTCTTTCGAGAAGGGGTCTCACTCTCACCCAGGCTGGAGTGCAGCGGCGCAATCTTGGCTCACTGCAACCTCCGTTGAACTAGGCTCAAGCAATCCTTCCACCTCAGCCTCTTGAGGAGCTGGGACTACAGGCGCACACCACCATGCCTGGCTAACATTTTTTTTATTTTTTGAAGAGACAGGGTTTCCCAGTGTTGCCCAGATTAGTCTTGAAAACTCCTGGGCACAAGTGAACTGCATACCTCAGCCTCCCAAAGTACTCAGATTAAAGGCATGAGCTACTGTGCCCAGCCAAATGTAAATCTTAAATAACTATTATATTAAGGTATATAGGATAAATTTCCACAGTAAAAGCACAGTGTTTCATTTTATATATACTGTTAAGGTTTTTAACCAAACTTTAAAAATATCTTTAAAATCATAAAATGCCATACATGCTAGACAAATATGGCAGGTTTTTTTTAAAACGCCACTTTATTATGACTCAAAATGCATAATGGACACAAAAATTTAACAACAAAAAAGAACAATCATAGCATCCAAATTACTGAAAGGCTGGTGCCGATTTTATCAATACCATTAACAAAAATGAGTGGTGTTGGACATTTCGCTTCCCTTCTTTCTGCCTTATTTGCTCATAAAGATGAGAAAACGAGAATGGTAACTAAACTGATTAAGTTTCCAAGGAATGATAAGAGTATTGTCAAATCAACACTACTAAGGGTGGTTGGTATAAAACGATTAAAAAGCAACTATCAATTTGAAAGCAGAAACTTGAATTTTTGTATGCCAAAAACTTGATACGTGTATGCCAATGTTCACAGTAGCCAAAAGGTGAAACCAACATAAATGACTTCGGTTTTTTTGAGACAGGGTTTCCCTCTGTCTTTCAGGCTGGAGTGCAGTGACGTGATTACAACTCACTGCAGCCTTGAACTCCTAGGCTCAAGCTATCCTTCCACCTCGGCCTCCCAAACAGCTGGGACTACAGGTGCATGCCACCAGGCTCAGCTAATTTTTTTTCTTTTTTTAATTTTTGGTACAGACAGGGTCTTATTATATTGCTCAGGCTGGTCTTGAACTCCTGAGCTCAAGCTATCCTCCCGCCTCAGCCTCCCAAACAGCTGGGAC